AAGGGACCAAAAAAAGTGTTCATTGTTCAGAATTGGGAGGTGTTCATTATATAGAGGTCCATTTACAGCAAAAATCGATCAGGGGGACCGAGACACGTGTTCAAATAGGAGGTGTTCATTATATAGAGGTGTTCATTAAGGGAGGTTTTACTGTATCTCTATTTCCCATTGATTAGATGAAAACCACGTCATAGTTCCTTGTTTTCAAAGAGAGCTTAATTTATCATGTATTATTTCAAACTAGTATGTGTTGATTTTACTTGAATCTAAGCAAATAATAAAAATGAATTATTTATTGAGTTGTTCATAATCAAATTTTTATATGCGAGGAAATAGCTGCAATGTAGTTCAAAACGATATCTCTTATGTTTTAAATCAAGTTATTGATGATAGTGTCCTTTAATTGTTCTTTGAGAATAATGTGGGAACATGAATGAAAAAAAAAACAACTTTTTGTATCCTATGCAAGAATCTATTGATTTTTTAGTTGAGAGAAAAACGAACTTTGGCAACAATAACAACTATCTAACTATACTTTTATTGGCTTCGTATAGTACTGAACTCTCATTTGAAAAGAAAGAAACAAACCTTTTGGAAACAAAAAATTCGCTATTCATTTTCAAACAAAATTGTGTACTGTTCTATTTGTAATTACAATACTATTTCGTCAGCCTCAATCCTGTTCATTCCTCAAGAAAGCCGGTAAAGATATATCAGAATCCTAGATCCCAAGGATTTTGTCAAATTTTTATTCAGGATCCCGTGTCGAATCTTAGTAGCTTCTGTGTTTACGTTTTCTCATGCTTAAACAGTATCTTTGTCAAAATTCATTCAAGTTCCTCTTCACATATGTTTTCAAAATGAGAATGTTGAGTCCTACGAAGATTCACTTTCAATCCTACTCAGAATCTTGAAAGGAATTGCAGAGAAGATTTTGCCAATATGTCATCAGGTTTATATCAAAACATCGTCCAAATCTTCCTATTATGATCCTGTTAGGATCTATAGTTACATTAGTCGAAGACCTTAGCAAGAAAAGAACAAGATCAGTCAGAATGCTAAATTGAGAAATCCTGACAAGATTCCATTAGGATCTTGCTTTGATTTTTATGTATATTTGTTATGAGAATCTCTATGTAACTTTTTAAAGATCTTGTTCAAAGCTTTTCAACAAAAAGAGTTTCGAATTCTTGCTAAACAATACCAATCTTAATCAAGACCTTGATAGGAAAACATAAGGATTCAGTTAGGATCTTTGCACATACTGTTTAAACTACGGAGTCTTGTTCATTTCTTGAGAAAGCTTTTGAAAAATCTTGTTAAATTTGGTTTAAGATTATTTTCAGAATTTCTTCAACTTTCTATTCGGATTTTTTTCTAAATTCAGAATTCAGGATCCTATTAGAATTCACTCTCGATTCTCACGCCAATAGCGGACAGAATTCTGCCAAAGTTTTACTCTATTTTAGTCAGGATCTGTTCTAGATCCTGATATGAGGATCAAGCCAAAATTTGAAGTTCTATTAGAGGATAACTTTAATAAAAATAAAACAAAATTAGTCAGAATCCTGAACGAATAAATCCTGCCAAGTATCAATAGATTCTACTCCGAATTTTTCAAATCCTTTTAGAGCTTGATTGTCAATATTCGATAAAAGTTTATAACTGATGTTGTTTAGAATCTTGACCAAGATGAATGTAAAGATGTCATTAAGGTTTTGGCCGGATTTTGTTCGAGATCTGCTCAAAACTTGTAAATCCCGAAATTACAACACGGGTTTCAATAGTAATCTTAGGTAAAATCTCAACAGTGATAAATGGAAGGATTTTTGAACTTTTTGTTATGTTTTACTCGAAACCTGACAGAATTTGAAAGCCTAGAAGGATTTTGTCATGATCATAGTTAGATCTTGGTATAAACAGAGAGAAAGCTTGTAGGGAAATCTCAAAAATTTTGTTTTAGACCTTCTTATAGTCTATATTGAAATTGACACGAGACTCAGGTCAACAACACCAGTTATTTCTGAGCTATTATTCTGAAGTGCAATTTGAAAAATTATTAAATTAGGATATTAATTTTATTTTAGTAATTGCACTATTTTTTTTTCCATTAAATATTTACTTTCAGTAGAAGGTAAAACGTTTGGTAACACCTGTTCATAGTTTGGATTATAGGTACAAAAATTACAAAATAGATTTTTCAATCGAATTGAAATTAAGAAGAAATAATGAAATCTTGTAAACTAAAAACAATATTTAAAATGATATTGTATTTCTACAATTTTTTGAGGTAATTTATGTTCACATAAAAGTCAAATAAAAGTTAACGATTTAGTGAAAGTTTGAGACAGTTTCCGACGATCGAAATAAAAAACTGAGATGTGACGAGGCGCATGGAATAATATTGCAATGAATCATTTTGTTTTGCATTCGTTTGTTGTCTTGTGACATTATAGGCAACCATAGATAAAAACAAAAGACGAATGAAGCACTCAAGTGAAACAAAAGGAAAAAATCATCTTACATGACAGTAACGATCGAAAACAAATAAAAACATCTGGAAAAATTACAACATATTATATAATATCAAAAGTATTTTGTTTTCGTTGTAAAGCACTACGTACACAATGGACCAAAAGAAAACGTCGGCAACAACTCCTGTCGCTGCTGCTGATACAGGATCGGAACATACGAATATGAGTTTACGACGGCCTCCTTATGCTCGTATGGTTTAGAACTTCTTACTGGTGTGGCTGGACACCAACATTGAGGACATGAATAACGATGATTATATCAATACCATCAACAAATTAAAAGGATTGGTGAACAAGATTTATCCATTCACTGATGTGAATGAATGCATCGATTTTATAACCGATATTGAAGAGGAGAAAATATTTACCATTTTTTCTAGTTCCTTCGGATAAACAACTGTTTCCATGGTCCATGACATTCCACAAATCAATGATATTTGTATTTGGAGTGAAGACTACACCCAACATGAAGGTTGGATTAAACAGTTTCCAAAAGTCAACGGTGTATTTACAGATATTGCCTGAATCTGTAAAGCACTTCAACAAGTTGCATACAAATGTGATCAGAATTTTGCCACCATTAATTTTGTCCCCATGAACAATGGAAGTCGCGCACAAAATCTTGATGAATTAGATCAATCATTTATATACACACAAATATTAAAAGAAATCTTATTAACTATTGATTTCCAAAAAAAATATTTCAATCAATTTATTTCATATTGTCGTCAACTTTTCGAGAACAATGCTAGCGAACTCAAAATCGTCGACAAACTCGAATCGAAATACTATAAACATGTCCCGATACGTGCAATTCTTTTCTTTATTCAATGCTCAATCGATCCTTACGCATGATGGAAGTAAATCTCGTTATAAATATGGAGTTTTTCATTCAAGATCTCTACAACCACATTGTTGAACTTCATGATCAACAGTTCTCTGGATATTAGTCTTCAAACTCATTTATTGTTTATCGTGATCAAGGACTATCACAGATGAACTTTGATAAATTAGTCAAGACATTAGGTGGACTTTTATCATTTAATAATTTTTTGTCGACAAGTCTTGATCGGGAAGTATCTCTTGCTTTTGCTGAGAGTAATCTAAGCGATCGCAATCTGATAGGTGTTCTCTTTCAAATAACTATCAGCCCATCAACATCGACTATTTCTTTCGCAAACCTCTACAACGTCGGTTATTTCAAAGAAGAAGAAGAAATTCTTCTCTCCATGCATTCCGTTTTTCGTATTGGGACGATGAGACAAATCGATAGAAATAATCGACTCTGGCAAATCGATTTAACATTGAATAGTGACAACGATCTAGAACTTCATACACTTACTGAGCAAATACGCAAAGAGACCTATCCTCAACAAAAAAAAAAGGATGGATCGTTTAGGCATGTTACTAATTAGACTTGGACAGTTCAATAAAGCCCAAGAGGTGTATGATACCCTACTTGATCAAACAATGACTGATTGTGAAAAATTAATAATCTATTATTAGCTAGGATGGGTGAAACACGGTCAAGGCGAATATATAGACGCTATTAACTATTATAAACAATCCATTGAAATCAAACAGAAGACTATCTCTCCAACGGATTTTGTTTTTGGCTTCTTTATATAATAACATTGGTTTGGTGTACTTCAACATGGGTGACTATTCGAATGCACTTTCAAATTATCGAAAAGCACTAGAAATCCGACAAATATCTCTTCTTTCAACTCATCTTGATTTGGCTGCTTACTACAACAATATTGGTTTGACATACGACAATATGGGCGACTATTCTAATGCACTTTCATCTCATCAAAAAGCACTAGAAATTCGCCAAAAAACCCTTCCTTTAAATCATCCTGATTTGGCTCGATCTTACAACGACATTGGAGCGATATATGATAACATGGGTGACTATTCGAATGCACTTTCATTTTATGAAAGTGCACTGAGTATTTTACAACATTTAGTACCTGAAAATCATCCTCATCTTCTAACGTTAAGGATGAATCTCGAATATGTTAAAAGAAAATTGTAATTCCTATTTCTCTTTTCTCTAAATAAATAAATAAACATTATGTAGAGAAAAGAGTATTTTTCTTTTGTTTTTTTTTTATCTGCAAAAATAGGCTCACTCGCGTGCAGAGAAACTATCTTATTGATAACATAATGGAGCTAAGCTTACCGGTACGGTAACCAATCCATATCAAAATGATGGATATAGATTGTAAATGAAAGGTCTTCTCAGTCTACTTTTTGTTTCAAGAAGACGAATTTCTCAATACCGGATATTAAACTATTCGATTGGTTGATAGAAAGAAGAAAATAAAATACAAAATTCTTTAAAGTGTACCATGGATTATTCTTTCTTTTTCAGCATGAGAATAATTTATTGCATGAAGAAAGAGAAAAGCTGAAAATGTTTAGCAACTGAATGGCTTACTTCTTTCTACAGTTGAATTATTGTTGCATTAGGAACAGAAGAAGTAATTTAATTATAGATAGAAATAATTCATTCAATTAATTGATAGAGAAGAATCACTGACGGACCCAGGAAATGCGATCGCATAGCCCTTCAGGCTTAATTTCACTTTTTTTTCTAGTGACTTTTCTTGGAAATTTTGCATTTTTGTCTCATCGTCCATCCTTGCAACTCTTACCGGCACCTTTCTCCTCCCTCCCCGCTTCCCTTCTGAAATTTCTGGATAGACTACTGAGAAGAATAATAGTTCAATACTTTGCAAACGATGACTTCATATACGGTTAAGAAAGATGATTTTTCGTATTTTCTTTTGGAAGAAAAGATGACACGTAATTGGTTTGTTTATTTGAATGTAGACGAATATGCGTAACAACTATTTATTTAACGTGAGAGAAAAAAAGGAAATAAAATAAAATAATTAAAGAGTAAAAAAGAAAAATGCTACTGCAGTAGCATGATTGACATGAAATGAATGATGAACGGACAAGCCATGTGACTATAATCATTCTAAATGATTTCAATGTCGTTGTTATGTGTCGTTCGTTTGAATAGTATGTGTTTGAGAAATAAAATAAGTACGAATTCTAGAATTCATGAATGAACCTATCCAACAATGAACATCGTTGAGAAAAGTGTAAAAGAATAAACATATTAATTCGCTGTTCTGTCTATGATCAAAACCTTAAAATTTCACAATTATATTTCGATTTCTTTTTGTCTTTGAAAGTTTTTGTTGAACAGAAGTGAAACTTCATAACTTTTTTCTTATATTTTGTACTACCTTTAGAAAAGCTCAAGAGTGCCTTTTTTGCATAATTATGTATGAATACGAATATATAACTTAAGATTAATGTAGTATCATTTATGACAAAGATAATAATGTAGAAATCTATCAGTTTAGTTTATATGTGTAAGGAAACACAAAGAAACAAAAAAAGAGAATTTCCAGTCTTTGGACGGTCATTTTCAGCCTAAACACTGATGGTAGAAAATACGAAACAACAAAAAATAAACAGATATTGTCATGATGAAAAAAACGAATATATAAAATACTCGTTCAAATGCGAGAATGAAATTTCATAATCGAATCGATAGCATCCATTTTCTTATAGAAAGTCATCCAAAAAGGCAAGTTTTTGTATAGACTTTGTTTTATTCAAGCTTCGAAATTATTAAAATGAAGACAGTAACAAAAGTTAGTCAATACTCTCTTTTCTATAAGCAAAGACAACAGTGAATACAGCTGTTGATTAATAATGACTTAATGAGAAAATCAAGTTATCAATCGAAAGTATTCTGTGGCAATTTCTTTTTAATTTCGATCATATGATTGGTCGAAATGTAACATTTCCGATTTACAGAGACAGAAAAGAAGTCCTAATTCCAATAAAGTATGATTATCTTTTGGGGAAAAAGAATGTCATATTCAATCATTCAAGTGATTATTTATTTTTTTAGAGAATATCGATTTATCTGTCATTCAACATCTGAAGTTTCGCATCACATTTTGTAGTTGAGTGAAACTCGAATGCCATCTAGTTTTATTTTCATTTGCTCAGTAAGGAAAAAGTATCAACACAATATCATGAATCATGTTGTAGTCTATCTATAATCATATATATATATATATATGATGAATCATCAAATCAATGTCGAACTGGAAATTCACTAATGCATTGAAAATAAATCTCATTTTGAAAAAGTAGTTGTAACAATATATGAAATATCTTATTGACATCGATTATTTATGATATTAAATTCTTTTGATCAACTAAAATTAGAGAATTAGTTTTACTAAAATTTCGTTTTTGCATTGTTCTCAAGTTAAAATCTGTTGTACGCTTGTTACAGTGTCATTGTAGTATAGCACCATCCTTCGTGTGAAACTTACATTTTCTGAAAATAAAATAAATAGGTGAAAAAGTCATCTTATTTAT